CCGGACGCGCAGGCTCAGCGGCCATGGCTCACGGGCCCAGCCGCTCCGCGGCATGTGGGATCTTCCCGGACCGGGGCACGAACCCGTGTCCCCTGCATCGGCAGGCGGACTCTCAACCACTGCGCCACCAGGGAAGCCCAGGATAAATCTCTTTTTCTTCTTCTTTTTTTTTTGGCCGTGCCACGAAAATTGTGGGATCTTAGTTCCCCAACCAGGGGTTGAAGCCGGGCCCTTGGTAGTGAAAGCGCAGAGTCCTAACCACTGGACCGCCAGGGAATTCCCCAGATAAATCTCTAAAAACAGAATTGTTGGCACAAGCTGTCTGTGCACTTAATATTTTAATAGATCTTGCCAAATATCTACACACTAATGGTGGGGTGCCTGTTTCCTTACATCCTCACACCATTATCAAGGTTTTTTTTTTTTTTTTTTAACTTATCTGATGGGTAAAAATATTTTATTATTATTTTAAAATAATTTAAAATAATGGTACATGTTGCAGCTTCTTTAGTTCACAACCACGTGTTGCTGGGAGTTCTTTTGGTAGATAGCGTTACTGAACAAATCAGAATAAATTGCACGACTGTCATATGTTGGGGTCCTGCTCTTGGAACCGAGTTTTCACAAGCGCTTCTCTTGTAATTTTTTTGGTCATCATCTTGCTTTTTAGAACTTGTGCAATGGGAAATTCAGTCTAGCCCTTGAGACAGCGTGATGGGGGAAGTGATCAGGGCACTGTAAATCACAATGCAGATGTGAGATGTCATTTTTTTCTCCATCCCAAGGTGTAGATTCCCAACCAGTGTGGGTCTGCTGGCTCTGAATACCATGGCACCCTGTTTTCCTGGTCCTTCTCTGCCACTATGCTTTGTCCTCAGCTGGTTTATAAAGGAAGCAGAGGCTAATCTAGCCTCCCCTTTGAGGCAAGGTCAGCTGAAGCCTCCAAAGATCACGTGACCTGCTCAAGGTGATTCAGTGGTCGAGATAGGAGGACAGCTGAGCCTTACGGGGTCGGTACTGATGCCAGCTTATGTTGTCTGGAGTGGGGGAGGATCCAGGCTGAATGATCTAGTGCCTGCTTCTCTCAGGACATCTGTTTCCTCAGCTTCCTGTAACTGCCTCATCCCCACGCCTGGGAAGGGAGCTTGTTTCATCTTTTACCTCCTGCTGGTGGCTGCGAGGACAGAGCTGCCAAAGTGGAGGAAACCACACTGTGTCTCCCTTCCCTCCTGCCCCCAAGGGACTGCAGATACGATGGAGGGGCTCCTGGCAGGGGCCTGGGCTGCCTCTGCTCCTCTGATCCCAGCCAGCTTTCTCCGCTCCGTGTTTCTCTAAAATCCAGAGAACTGGCTGGGTTCCCTGGAGCTCTGTCCCAGAGTTGGAGCTCTGGTTGGTACTTGCTCCCTCAGCTGGACCAGAAATACCCACAGGCCTCCACCAGGGAAGCCAGGGCATTGTGACTTGGTGACCCAAAGTGGGCCCTTCCTCTGTGGAAGGGCAAGGAGCAACCTCAGGTGAGAAGGACTCAGGCACGTGTTCTTTCCAGCTTCGTTGTTGTTCTTTCCTGGCTGTTGAGCTGAGCTTTGCCTTCGTTTCCCCATCTGTAAAATGGGCGTTGCGTGAACTGGGCATTTCTGTAGTTTCCAGAGTCAGTGGGGGCAGGTTTGGTCTGATGATGCAGATCATTGTATAGAACAGTGGCTGAGAACTTGGGCTCTGGAGTCAGACCTGGCTCTGCCACCATCACGCAGGTTCCTTAACCTCTCTGTGCCTCAGTGTCACCATCTGTAAGATGGGGATAAAGTGGTGCTATCTCAGAGGTGGTTGTGAGATTGAAAGGTCAGTGCTGACCCATAGTCAACTCACAGTCACAGCGTTGCCCCTGGCCCCCCTGTCCCCATAGCTTGTCCTTATCTCCACCCTGACTGCCCACATGCTGAGTCAGCTGAGGTTTGGGAGGAAGCTGGGCTGTGCTTGGTGGGGCAGGAGGGCTGGGCCTGGCACACAGCATGCTTCTCTTTTCTCTTGACTTGCAGTCCTTCCCAGAGAGCCGTGGACTCCTCGCTGCCCACCTCCACCCAGAAGAAGAACAGAGGGGTCAGAGCAGGGGCAGCTGGAAGCTGCGTGGGACCGAGGGAGGGGGTGGGATCATAATAGTACATATAACAGCTCCGGTAATGGTTTGGGAGCCCTGTGCTGTGTTTACGTTCATTTATAATCTTGTGAGGTTGGTGGCAGCCACTCCCTACTATGGAGGAGGAAACTAAGGCCTAGAGAGGTTAGGTAAGTTGCTGGAGGCCACACAGCTCCAAAGCTTGGGAGCCTGAGCACTGAGGAGGCGAGAGTGGATGAGGCTCTAGAATGACTCTCACCTCCCTCCCAAGCTTATGCGGTAAAATTGAAAGGTATCTGGGAACCTCCCTTCTCTTGCTCTGGGCCCTTACTCTGGGGGGGCGCAGACGGCACCGGCCCTTCTGGACTCTCAAGTTCAAGTCCAGGCTGTGAGTTTTGTGCCCTTCCTGCTG